AGAGAGAGAGAGAGAGAGAGAGAGAGAGAGAGATTGACTATCTAGATAGTACTTGAAGATAATTTTTCTTTTTGGGGTGGGGTGGGGGTGGGGGAGTGGGATCACCACATTAAGTGTAAGAATACTTTCCGTAATTGTAACACGCCAACTCAATAAGTGACCTGAAGGCACGTTTTGGGCGTAAAGTACAAACAATATCGTACTTTTCGCTCGGTTAGAGTCCTGAAATATTACATTCTTTCCGTGGCTGGTGCAGTCTCTGGACATAAGTAATATAATTGCTTGTATAGAAAATGATTTTTTTGCTCCTGTATTCATGGAAGTTTGATGTGGCATGTGCAAGGATGGCACACCGTATTAACGGGTTTTTTTTTGGCTTTCAAGATAATATAACCTTTCATTAACTATTTTGGAAAACCAAAAACCGTACAAAGGCAGCGCAATGAATTAAAAGCCAAGTATTAACAAAGAAAAGTAATAGTATAAACCGAAAAAACACTGTGCATGATTAAGGAAAGCAAAGACGGAATCAAAGATGAAAAAGCGCAAATCTTGGGACATTTAATAATTTCTGACCGGCGTCTGTGATGACAAAGTTGCGCTTTTTAGTTTTAGCGCTACACGAAGAGGTGAGTTCAAGCCTCATATGGAAAAGTCTAATTTTTTTTCGAGTATTCCAGTCTTTATTAAAACCGAATTAGCCATCACCCGTGTCTGTGGTGTAACGGTTGGTGTTTCTCTGTCGTACGAAGGCGACCCGGGCTCGATTCATGAGAGGGGAGACAATTTTTATCGAGTCTTTTTGTCTTTTTGCTGGGATGTTGTAACTTGTATATCCCTCTCAACTCTGGTTGGCCCTGAGAGGTACGGTAGGAAACCTGCCTCCTAAATGATCTAAATTGTGTCGATGGGGGCTAAAAACCCCCATCTATATGAGAAATAAAAATAATTGGCCTTTACAAACAGTATTGAGGCTGCCCAACTCCCTCCTAAGTGATGCAAACAGTGACGATTTTTTTTTTTTGGGGGTACTACTAGTGGCTGTGGATTTTAAAAAAAGTATGAACTGTTGACTTACCTGGATTGTGTCTGGGGATCACAGGTTCTAGCTTCACTGTTTGTGCAAACGTGGGAGAGAAAAGAATCACAAGGGAGTGTGAGTATTGCAGTGAGTTATTGGTCATTGAGTTGTCCTGGAGAGGAACAACAATACCTTGTAGCTGTTTGAAGGAATACATTAGATAAATTGGGAAAACAGAAAATAACGGAACAAAAAGATAAAGACTGTCGCCTGCACACATAGAGAGGCAGTCGGGGGGGGGGGGAGTGGAGCGCACACAAACAGGAAGAGGGAGAAGGGAAGGGAAATATTTAAAAAATGAGGAGGGGTGAAATTAATTATTGACGTCTGTGGAGATTAGTTTACCAAATACCAGGTGTTTAAAAATGTACCATTTTAAAGGACAATGACTTGGTCTTCTCTTGACTATTTTTAACAAACATCGAACAGATAAAATTACTTTTTTTAAAATAAAAAAGAAAATCAACGGGTATGTTCTAAAATATATATAAGTTTTTAAAGATTCCAACCTAAGCGGAAGGAAACGCCACACTTTGTCATTTCTTACAATTCAACTGTATTGTTCTATTTCAAATAGTCACTGTCTGTGCATTGAAGAGCCGATTTATATAAAATTGATATTGCAAAATAAACTCAAGGAAAGTGGTGGCTATTCAAATTGTATGCTCCAGATGCTGACCGCAATTTATCTCCATTACAGCTCCAATACGCGACTGGAAATGTTGAATAACTTTATGGCTCGTTTCTGAGTCGATTCATTTCACCTCCTGTTCAATATAGAGTTTCGAGTGTTCGAAGATTTGTAAAATGTTTTGATGACTCGGTCTGTCCACCCCCTAAAAAAACCCCCCCAACAACAACAACAAAACAAACTACAAACAAACCTACAACCCAAAACAAAACAACCACAACAAGAAAACAAAAAAGCAAGCAAACAAACCCCCTTCCCCAAAGGTAATGCATATAATCGAAGGGATTCAAGTTGGCGGAATGAATTGACCAGTCTTTGTAAGCTTTCGGCTTATGAGGCGTTCCCTAAACATTCCTTGCAACCCTACAAGGGCCACTCTTGATGTGTGAAGTGTGGTCCTTGTCCCACTGGACCCAGGCCTCCTCACCAGCATGATTACCTCCCCCCTCCCTCCGATTTATTCTAAATTTTCTCATCTCGGTGATATTCATCTGATGCGACTGTCGTGGTTTTACCCTCCTCGTCCCGACCCCAGAATGGGCCGATCCCACCTTTGTGGCTGAGCGTTTTAAAAAGTTTTGAGGTTGACCTAATTTTGGTTGACATTTTAAAATCTCGATATATCTGGAACACGTCAGTTGATTTTCTTCACGTTCAATATAATATAATCTTAACGTCCCCTTGGTGGAATTTTACTGATTCGAAGTCTTGTTGAAAGTAGTGCAGAGATGACCAAGTTCTTAGCCTTTAAAAAGTGTCCTTTTTGTTTTTCAGACACCTAGTATTTATCGATATTTCTATTACGATATTATAAACTCTGCATTTCAGACGTCCAGTAGGAAAAAAACCCCAACCTGACCTAAAATTAATTTGATTCTATGACATACTTCAAAAGCTCTTTTATAATTAAAGGGACTCTTTGAACAATAGAAGAAAATGAGATTTTCGGGCGACCCCTAAGACATCGTCCTCAGCATCAGCAAACCAGTGTCTTTTGGTGCTTGTCGTTTCTTCTAAATGACAAATAAAGAACTTTATACTTCCGAGTGGCGATACTATAGTCGTTTAGAAAAACAGAGAAAGACCACCTGACTAAAACCGCTGACGATTACACCAAACTGTTATTTCATTACAGATATTGTGAAGTGAAACAAAAATAAGATTCCAATATTGTTCATTCACTTTGCTAAAAGGGGAATAAAAAATACCAACCAAATATTGTTCAATTTCTTTGCTACCTTAAATGCTTCTATTTTTCTCGGCATTTCAGTAAAGGTTCTTGATAAAGAAAATAGAGAATAGAATAGCCATGCAAATGAAACCGGGCGCGTAAGTGATGAGAAGTCCACTGGTAAATCATGAGGGAATCAAAGCACACAGTTTTTGATAATGTCATCTACACAGCAGCAAAGTCAGCAGGAGTTAGAACAAATACGGAGCATTCACACAGGCAATTTTCTAATGGACAACACCATGCAGGACCAAAAACACAAATACACAGGACTGGAACATTTATTTGAACAGAGGTGAATTGGTGTCAATGAACAATTAGCGAGCAGTCATGCGTGGGTGAGTTCTGGGTTGTTCAGTGGAAATGAAAAGAAAGTGTTCCCAGATTGTTTTTGCTGGGAAGAAATGGACCTCTAACGAGAAATTGTTTGCTTTGATCTCGCTCAATTTGGCGTGCATTCCTGAAAAAGACGAATTGGAGCGAGGGAGGACATCCGACCCTTTTCTTGTTCCAATACACATTGATGCATTACTCAATACATTAACACGTCATCGATAGGTGCTCCATCATTACCGCTTCCGTTTCGGACAAATTTCACTCTCAGTGGACTGAATAAAAAAAAAACCCAAAGGGAAAACTGACACAAGAACTACATCTAGATCAAGACATTGACGAGGCTTTAAAAAAGCTCCACGAAAAAACAAGGAAATGAATCGCCTAAAAACATTCTCCCTTCTATTCAAAAGGTATCCCGAAATCATTGTAACAGATGGGCAAAAACTGCATAAAATTCGCCATCGGAGGGCTCAGTTTTTATGAACACACAGATTGCACTTTTGGTAAAGAAATTCTTTGTTGTTCTATCATGAAATGCAACTAAATTAAGATGTTCGATAACAGCCCTGTACCATGTATGTATACATTATGTATATA